CCCCGCCCCACATCGTTGCCTTACCCTGCGTGAAATTTTCATCTTCTTTGTGGAGCCGAAATACAAGTCCTCCAATGAAAGGAAGAGGTCTCTCTCAATGGGCGGGTCCTGTTTCTTCACCCCTCTTCCTCGCAGACCTCCGAAGCCCATGTTCACCTCCGAGCCATCCGGCGTGAAAAAGTCTTGGGTGGGTATAAAGGACAAGAAAACAATTGGACGTCACTGTCTGTAATACTGCAAGCAAGGAAACTATTGGTCCTGATGTACGACGGATTGGCAAGTGGGACATTTTGCATGAAAGTGTTTTTGTTGTCACGATTGCTCATTTCCTCCTCAGCGTCACATGTGGGCATTACCTAAGGCAATCTGCATGCAAATACAGTCTGCCTGGGAACACCCACTCCTTCAGACTGATATACAATCATCAAGTCATTTTCATATTTGCATAACACATCCCAAGAGTCAGCCCACTGCTTGTATCAGGCCTGTTGAGAGAAGTTCTGCGGCAGGATGCTGTGATGTATTCAGGAGGCTATGTACAGCCTCTTGCTGGCCCTTCCACAAGCCATGATCTGCCTGCATTGTATAGGAAAGCACGGAGACCCAGAGGTGGCATCGCTGGGTATAAAATAAGGAATGCAATGAAGACGGAAAGGTTTTAATTAGCATGTTGATGATGAGGGAGGGAGGGAGAGAGGGAGGGGGAGAGAGGAAGAGAGAGAGGAAGAGGAAGAGAGAGAGAGGAATGGAGAGTAAGCAACTTCAATGCAGGAGAGGATCCTGTACAAGACTGAAGGTAGGGCAGGAGTTCTGTTTTTACGTAAAATGTATGTGGCTTTTCTCTACATGAGCTGTGACTTCCGTCTGACTGGATTGTTATCATCGTTCACCTCTCACCTGCAAATGGATTATCTCCTCCGAAAAATTCCTTAAATGTCTTCTCCGGATTCCCATGATAAACGTAACTCGAGGTCCAGGCCTCTTCACCTCCGAATTCAGCCGGGATCCCGCCTTTCAGACCCTCCTCTCCGAATTTGTCATAGGTGGCCTTCTTCCTCACTGCCGGGAACAAACCACAATGGTTATCGGTGGACTGAGTCAGATACTGGCTTTTTATATGTCTGCTGCGCCCTCATAATGGTCACAGTAGCTGTGCAGACCTGGAAATCCAGCACAGGGATGGTGGGAGCCCCTCATACTGGGCACAGCAGGTCTACAGACCCGGGAACTCAGCACAGGGATGGTGGGAACCCCTCATAATGGGCACAGCAGGTGTACAGACCCGGGAACTCAGCACAGGGATGGTGGGAGCTCCTCATAATGGGCACAGCAGGTGTACAGACCCGGGAACTCAGCACAGGGATGGTGGGAGCTCCTCATAATGGGCACAGCAGGTCTACAGACCACGGCTACTTACAGTCACTCAGAACGTCGTACGCCTCAGCGATCTGCCTGAAACGGTGCGGGGCCGATGGCTCCTTATTTTTTAATGGGTGGTATTTCAGGGCCAACTTCCTGTACCTGGATGACAGTGAACACAGATATGAAGCACCGACATAATCCATAGCACTGTACGCTGCACCAGAGGAGCTTACACTCTAATGACCCCCCCCCCACAGTCACACACTATTATTTTTATACATTTATATAGCTCTGACATATTCCGTAGGGCGGTACAGAGAACACTGAGACGGTCACATCAGTCTATACGCTAAAGGAGCATTGGTGTACATATTTTAGGTTGACTGCCTCAAATATTAGGGTTACGGAGGGAAAATATTACAGTTTGCACTACTTGGCTGTACTACATATAGGGGATGGGGGTGACTGGGGGAAGATATGTCAAGCTGCGACCCCAGGCTGTAACTACTCTGGGGTAACTGGGGAAGATATTACAAGCTGTACCCCCAGGCTGTATTACATATTGGGTGACTGGGGGAAGATATTACAGGTTGTACCCCCAGGCTGTATTACATATTGGATGATTGGGGGAAAATATTGCAGGTTACACCCCCAGGCTGTATTACATATTTGATAATTGGGGAAGATGGTACAGTTTGTACCCCCAGGCTATATTACATACTGGGGGAAGCTATTACAGATTGCACCCCTAGGCCGTATTCCATATTGGATGATTGGGGGAAGATATTACAAGTTGTACCCCCAAGCTGTATTATATATTGGATGAGTGGGGGAAGAAATTACAGGTTGTACCCCCAGGTTGTATTTAGGGTTGTCACCTGTCCGGTATTCACCCGGACAGTTCGGGTTTTGAATGCTGTGTTCGGGTTTCATGGCAGCTGGAACCCGGACACAAGATGCCAGGCAGACAGGGGCAACCAAAATTAAGATAGGGGCTACTGCGCCCCCCCACTAAAAATAGTCCCGACTGTGATATTTACATATGAATGGGTGGCGCTATTTGCATATGAATAAGCCACAACTCGTTCTCCCCCCAAAAAATGTCCGTGCATCGCTAGAGTGTTTGGGTTTCGCTGGAAGAAAAGGTTGCAACCCTAGTTGTATTACATACCAGGTGACTGGGGGAATGTATTACAGGTTGCACCCCCAGGCTGTATTACATATTGGATGACTGGGGGAAGATATTGCAGGTTGCACCCCCAGGCAGTATTACATACTGGGACAATATATTACAGGTTAAACCCCCAGGCTGTATTACATATTTGATGATTGGGGGAATATATTACAGGTTGCACCCCCGGGCTGTATTACATATTCGATAATTGGGGGAAGATATTACAGGTTGCACCCCCAGGGTGTATAATATATCTAGGTGAATGCGGGGGATATATCAGGGTAGAATCGGGTTATACTCACGCTCTCTTGATGTCGGTGTCGGTGGCACTGTGGGGAATCTCCAGCACCGAGTAGTAATCCTGCCCCATGTTTGTCCTCACCGGGTTGCCAGGGACGCCTGCACTGCACGCTGGGAAGAACGCTCTTCCGTTACCGTGGCGACCCTGGCCGGGAAAAGAGGCGGGGCAGAATGATGTCCACAACCCTGAGCTGCACTTCCAACAATTGCCTTAAGGTGGCAGCAGAACATATGGCGCCGTTCACTATGTGGACAGATATGCTGCCTGGACAATACAATGCATGGAAATTAAATCTGTCAGTTTATCACAGCACCGACCAATCACATTGTACAATACAGAGAAATAAAATCTGTCATCATTCTGGGTTCTCCGGTGTCAGTGTGTCACTGCTCTGGGTCCCCCGTTGTCAGTGTGTCATTATTCTGGGACCCCCGATGTCTGTGTGCCATCATTCTGGGATCCCCATGGTCACTGTGCTATCATTCTGGGTCCCCCGGTGTCAGTGTGTTAGGGTTCTAGGACCCCAGGTGTCAGTGTGTTATGGTTCTAGTACCCCAGGTGTCAGTGTGTCATCATTCTGGGTCCCCCCGGTGTCAGTGTGTCATTATTTTGGGACCCCCCGTGTCAGCGTGTCATTGATCTGGGACCCCCGGTGTCAATGTGTCATTGTTCTGGGTCTCCCGGTGTCAGTGTGTCACAATTCTGGGTCCCCTGGGGTCAGTGTGTCACTGTTCTAGGACCCCCGTTGTCACTGTGCTATCATTCTGCGTCCCCCAGTGTCAGTGTGTTGTGGTTCTGGGATCCCAAGTGTTAGTGTGTCATTATTCTGGGACTCCCGATGTCAGTGTGTCATTGTTCTGGGACCCCCGGTGTCAGTGAGCTATCGTTCTGGGTTCCCCGGTGTCAGTGTGGAATCGGTCTGGGACCGCCCGGTGTCACTGTTCCATTGTTCTGGGTTCCCCTGGTGTCAGTGTGCCATCATTCTGGGAACCCTCGGTGTCAGGGTGTCATTGTTCTGGGACCCCCGGTGTCACTGTGCTATCATTCTGTGTCCCCCAGTGTCAGTGTGTTGTGGTTATGGGATCCCAAGTGTTAGTGTGTCATTATTCTGGGACTCGCGGTGTCAGTGTGCCATCATTCTGGGACCCCTCTGTGTCAGGGTGTCATTGTTCTGGGACACCCGGTGTCAGGGTGCCATCATTCTGGAACACCTCGGTGTCAGGGTGTCATTGTTCTGGGACCCCCGGTGTCAGTGTGCTATATCGTTCTGGGACCCCTCTGTGTCAGGGTGTCATTGTTCTGGGACCCCCGGTATCAGTGTGCCATCATTCTGGAACCCCTCGGTGTCAGGGTGCCATCATTCTGGAACCCCTCGGTGTCAGGGTGTCATTGTTCTGGGACCCCTCGGTGTCAGGGTGTCATTACTCTGGGACCCCCGATGTCAGTGTGTCATTATTCTGGGACCCCCGGTGTCAGTGTGCCATTATTCTGGGACCCTCGGTGTCAGGGTGTCATTGTTCTGGGACCCCCGGTGTCAGTGTGTTATCGTTCTGGGACCCCTCGGTATCAGTGTGTCATTATTCTGGGACCCCCGGTGTCAGGGTGTCATTGTTCTGGGCCCCCTCGGTATCAGTGTGTCATTATTCTGGGTGTGTCACTGTTCTGGGTCCTCCGGTGTCGATGTGCCATTATTCTGGGACCCCCCGGTGTCAATGTGTCATCGTTCTGGGACCCCCTTCTCATCTGAAATCTGGCTGTAAACATCCAGATTTTGAGTCCGGCTTGCTATCAGCAGGCAGTTCCCTTTCAGTGTTGGTGATCTATAGCAGTGCTTCTTAAAGTGTGGGTTGCGACCCCATATGGGGTCCCGCAAGTGAACAGGGGGGTCGCGATCCGAGTCCCCGGCCAGGACCGCCATCAGGGGGGTATGGCCAGTACTTGTGCGAGTCCTCGGCCAAAAAGGGGTCACGAGTGGAGAAAGTTTAAGAAGGCCTGATCTATAGTACGAGTTCTCTGGGGTTTCCTCCACACTGGGGTGACACTGAACATTTTAAAGCAAAAATTAGAGAGAAAGGACTATAACCTTTTCATTGCTGTCAGGGCCCCCACTGGAGAGAACCCACCTCACTTCCTGTTCCCCATGACCGGACAGGAAGTGAGAGGAACTATCCCCATTGGTGATATAGAAAATCATAGAAATCTGACAGAGGTTGTAACCCTTCCCCACTCCATCCAGAACCAAGGGAGAAGTTTGGTTGGAGATCTGGGTTATCCCCAAAGTGTAATCTGTGGATGGCAGGAAGATCTCACCCCCACAGGCCAATGACCTGGGAAATGCATGAAGCATATCTAGTGTAACCATCCTGCATTCACATCAGTTACTGCCCAAGTAAACGCCAGTACCAGAGCCTGCACCTTTAAAAAAACATGTCAGCCCCCATGTTTTGGTTCCCACAGGTACACTTTAACTCTGGCCTCCATCTTGTTTGTCCATTGATCTAATTTTGGAATGAGGGCAGGAAGAAGCAGGAACATTTTTGGCTTGTGTGCCCCCGGGGTTACTGGGTGCTAGCACTATACAGACAGTGATATTCAATGGACTGCCCAATGCACCACAACAGACCAAAAGTCAGGCACGCACCATTTTTTTGGCGCGTTGTGCTGTGATGTAACATGCCCATCAATATTAATCACCCCTGAATGCAAATTGTTTGCGTCCAGGCGCTGATTGTCCGCCGTATCAGCCTCGGGGGGGGGGGCTAGTCAAGTGTGTTGTAGTGCATTGAGCACACTGATAGGAGAAGAAAGCTCATCGGTCTGCTGCTTCTTTTTTTTCACTGTCCAGCAACAAAGTGGGGTGGTGCGGAGACCTGTAAGTGAAAGGGAAACCGCAACAGAGGACATCTCTGTATAACATCAGTATATAACCATCTACTTGGACTTCAACTTTAAACACTAAAATGGTCGTGCTGAAACCAGAGTTATCCTTCCTTATACCCATCAGACCGGCTAGTTCGTGGTTTTGAGAAGCAGCAGGGAGAAGTGCGCTACATAAATTGTCCCACTATTGAAGAAGATATCCTTAAAGCTGAACTCCGGGATATTACCCAAATACAAGTCCTGTGTGTTCTTCTTGGTGAGCTTTGTGTATTTCTTCCAGATCTGTGCAGTCATCCAGTGTGAGACTCGGAGCTTCCTGTAATAAAGACCGGCCACTGCTGCTCTCTCTCCTTGTGCAGGGTGACTGGTCTTGTCTCCGCCCCCCCTCCTATAATAAAGACCGGTCACTGCTGCTAATCTTTTTATTAAAAGACTCAAGCAACGTTCAAGACCGGTCACTGCTGCTCTCTCTCCTTGTGCAGGGGGAATGGTCTTGTCTCCACCCCCTTCTGTAATAAATACCAGTCACTGCTGCTTTTTCTCCTTGTGCAGGGTGACTGGTCTTATCTCCGTCGCCTCCTGTAGTTTGCTGTAGTCGGTAGGGCCTGCTGGGTCCCTCCCACAGCTCTGCCCTCTGCACAGGCAACATGTAGCACAGTGATGATGTCATCACTAATTTTATATAGTAATAACTGGGTTAGCTAAAGCTTTTGGTGCGCGCAATGTGTATTTATATATTTTGCAGCTACAAAGGAACACATTTAAATTAAAGTTTTGTGTCCTCAGGGAACCTGTCTTGAGAGAACAATGGATGCTGCAATTACTGACCCTTTCTTGAAGATGCAGCCATGCTGATGCTTTCTTTTTATGGCTGTCTGTGACTTGGAACAAGCATAGCCACACGGAACCAGCAATGGCAGCCCCCATGTACTTCTCATGACAGAGTCACTTTAAAAACCGTAATGGCCCATGTGCCAAACATCCACACAAACAACCGACTCAGTAAAAAGTGACTAAGTTCATTTTTGGAAGATTTTAACAAACCAAAAATTGTGACTGTAGGAATACTTTAAAAAAAAAATGGTAGTTAAGAAAACAATAAAGTTGAATAAATTAAGAAAAAAAATGCTACAGCAGTTAGAAGAAGGTCCATCAGCCTTTAAACAACCGGAAGATCTTTTCCATCCCGCACAGGTCCATCTACTCAACCGTTTGAGGAAATCTATATATGGATTTGTTCAGCATTTCAGGACTGGACGGCCACGGAAGAGGAGTCCCATTTCTGGAGACCTCTCGGGACGTCCAACCAAAACTTTTCTTTCCAGCGGCAACAGACAGAACATCAGCCAGGATCTCCTTCGTGAAGTCTTGGTTGGAGGGCTCGCAAACGTTAGATATCACACCGTCCTTACCAGCTTGGATGTGGCCATACCAGGTTTGATCTCCCTGCCCATCATGGGAGCACGTTTTGGTATTCAATACACTTTGTACCTGGTTGATGTTCCGATTATAATCCAGAACGGCCAGCTGTGAACGGGCCACCAAGCCGTCAATAGTATAACGAGATCTCTTGGCACGGTACTTCCGGCCGATACTATGAAACACCTGTAACTCCTCGGGGTTGCAGAAATCAGAGAGGTGCTTCAAGTCTTTAAGTAGATTTTTATCTAGAACAATGTCCTTCAGTTGGCGGTGGGCCTTGGAACCCTCCGTCAGCCATTCCTGGTGGTCTTCTTCCTCCTTGTGATAGCAGGAGTCATAAAGCGTTGCGCCGCGCCACTGATGTTGGTTTGAGGCGTGGTACGCTACAGAAACCCATTTCTCTCTTAGTAAAGTTGGATTGTGTGGACAGGTCCTGGTTGACCACCATAAATGGTTTTTGATGGGCCCAATCCACCTCGAGAGTTGACGGCAGCCATGCTTTCTGCTTGCCTTTGAAATCTTGCTGGCCACGGATCTGGCCACATGCCAGACGTCATACTGGTGCTTGATGTGACCGTAGTGTTTCTTCAACAACTTTCTTATCCCGGCGTTTCGTCCTGTGCAAATTACACGGACATTCAGTCTTTCCTCCAGCAGCCGGTCAAGTGTCATTTGGAATGTCTTCTCTTCGAGGCCTGCTGGGGTAAGAGAAGGATCTAACGCTCCCACCTGAAAGTCAATGATTTTTTTAGTTTGGTATTCTAGGAAACTGTAGGTGCAGCACTTGGCACGGGACGTGGATGGCTTGCACTCACCCACTAGCACTACG